ACCGGGCTGAGGGCCCACTGCCCAGCTGTTTCAGGTTCTGCCCTTTCTCGTTGCCTGAGCCGCTGAGCGACTAGGGGATTCGACTTGGGCTGTAGGATGCGTTTCTTCTCAATGTTGTATGAGGGGGTGCGTCTGGTGCCCCTGGACCGGCTCATGGGAGGAGGCCACATTTCTGTGACTGGTGACAGTGCTGTGTGGCCAGTTTCCTCATCTGTGAAACAGGGATGTTCACGAGCACAAACGTGTCCGTGTGTGTAAAACTCCACGATCCCACCCTGCAGCCTTGAAGCTGCTCAGGAGTGGTGGCTGCTGCTACTGCTGTCACTGTCACCTCCCATGGGAGCAGGTGCAGGCTCTGCTGGGCTGGGCTTCACGGAGGCAGGAGCTGCCAGGGACTGTCTTCTTCCACCTCCACCATCTCGTCTTATCTTCTGAAGCTGCAGGCACCCCGGAAAACAGCGCCCCGGCCGAGTCGGAGCCCAGCCAGTGGGTGTGTAAGGTGTGTTCCGCCACCTTCCTCGAGCTGCAGCTGTTGAATGGTAAGGGACACGATGGGCCGGGGCAGCCCTATGGTAGCAAGTCCTGTGCTGAGCTCACCTCGACGGTGCTGGCCCGCCCTCGCCATCCCTTTGGACAGTGGTAGGACACACGGCCCTTGGGAGTTCCCTGGCTTTACCCGAGCGGCTCCGCTCCCCAGCCTGTGTCTCCTCCTTGGGCCTCTGTCAGCTCGCACTTCTGGGCTTTGACCTGAAGCTTCTCTGCACGTCTGTCTCCCACAGAGGGACCTCGTTTGCTTTCTCTGAAGCTCAGCCGCGTCTTATAGTTTGTAGGGGAGGGGGAGTGTCTCTGGTTTTGTGGCCTGTAGTTGAGGTTGGTGATGGGAAGAACTAGTCCTTGGCCGAGTCATACAGGCACCTGCAGTCACTTGAGGGCGTTAGTCCGCACCTGTCTCGTGGGTCCCGCTTCCTCTTGCAGATGTCGGCCACCCCGCTGGCCTGAGCCCTGCCCACCTTCACTTGGGGGGCGTGGCCACCCCCGCCCGTCTGCTTCCTGTGTTTTGCTCAGTTATCTTTTCTTGGGAGGTCTCTGAGCTTTTCTTCCCTTGAAAATAAAGCAAAGTTTTCTTGCTTTCATGCAGTGTTTTTTTTTTAATCTCCTTTTTTCTTCTTTTTTCCCCTCGTGCAATGTTTTTAAGAACAACTGTGTTCATCATGAATTAAACATTTATTAATGCTCTTGAGAGGCTACAGTTTTAAGTAATTATATTATGTATTCATTCTAGAAAAATAAGAAAATTTAAATAAGCTTTAAGAAGAACATAAAAATTGCCCACAAGGTCACCATCTAGAGAGAACCACGTTACTGTTTCGATACGTTCTTTCACAGTTTCTCCGCACACGTGTGTGCTTTCAGTTTTTACAGACTGTGTGCGCAGTTTTACACACCTGCCCTCCTCCCACCACGTGACTGACTTTTTAAAGTGGCGGTTGTGTTTGGTGTATTGGAAATGCTTTTGTTTTCAAAAGCGGAAATAAAGTTCATTTGCCTCTGCAGGAGGCACACTATTAGCAAATAAAATTAAGAACAAAGTGGGAGTCAGCAGTGGACACCCCGCCTTATGCTTTTGCGCCCCTGTCGTGCAGAGCACCTGTTGGGCCACTTGGAACAAGCCAAAAGCGCCCCCCCAGCTGGCCAGCAGGAGCCGGCTCCCGAGAAGGAAGCCGACGCGCCCCGCGGGGAGCCTCCCTCCCTTCCCAAGAGTGTGGGTACCACCAAAGAGCAGAAGAAAAAGCCTCGAAGGGGAAGAAAACCCAAAGCATCCAAACCGGAGCAGCCTCTAGTCATTGTGGAAGGCAAGGAGCCAGCAGGTGAGGCTGGACCAAGGGGAGGAGTCAGCAGATGGGGATGGACCTGGGGGAGGAGCTATCGGGTGAGGGTGGTCCCAGGGGAGGAGCTAGCAGGTAGGGGTTGGTCCTGGGGGAGGAGCCATCGGGTGAGGGTGGTCCTGGGGGAGGAGTAACAGGAGTGGGGAAGGACCCCAGGCCGGGTTGCCTCCCTGCAAGGCAGAAAAACTCAGAACAGAGAGCCCATGTGGAGAAAGAATCGAAGCCCGTCTCTCCTCTGAATCAGCTCTTTCGAGAACAACCTACATGCAGTGCAGTTGGCACTGCGGAGCGTGCAGGCTGTGAGCTTTGACAAGTGGGTCCACCGCTGTGACCAGTTATCAGGACAGAGAACACTTCCGTCTCCCTGGCCACTTTCTTGCCTGTCTCGGCGTGGACTGGCATCCCCATCCCGACACTCCTTCTGTGCCCAGCGTCTTGCTCACAGCACGTGGGGAGACTCATCCACGTCAGGTTCCCCGCTGCTCCTCCTCCTTTGCTGCCGAGCAGCGTTGTCCACTGTGTGGGTGTCCCACCGTCCGCTCCCCCATCACCTGTGGACGGGCATGCAGGTTTCCAGGCCATGGCTAAAGATTCTCTGACATTACAGTAGCCTCAGTTGAGTTTGGAAGGACCTTAGACCCACCTTCTCGGGTGCACAGTCCCCACAAGGCCACGTCCTGCCGCTCCTAGCACGGCCTCTGCGGGAAGCACCCAGCAGCAGCGGGTTCCTGGGGGGTCTCCCCTGTGAGGACCGGATGTGGTGCTCAGATACTAGCCAGTCCCCTCCCTACCCCCCTTACTGGCCCCTGGGCAGTTTTTCTTTCTGCCGTCTGCTCTCGCCCAGTCTTCCTTCTGTGACAGTGAGAAGAAATCCTTGTTCTTTCTCAGAATTAAAGAGGAGAATTCAGGGAAGCAGCCTTCACATAATAGGCTCAGGAAGAGTGGTTTAAACTTCCCTGGACAGTCTCCCTGTGTCTCTGTGCAAGTAGAGAAGACAAGAAAGAGGTGAAAAGCTTATTAAGTGATTGTTTCACAAAGTACTCACTGTGTTAGGAAGACACATCACAGCGGGGGAAGTGGCTCGGTCCTTTTGTGTCATCTTCCTGTGTTTCATGTGTCTGGAGCTTCAGGCCAGGCCCTCCCACTGTGGTTTTTGGTGTTTGACGCTTGTACAAAATGGTCATCTGCATGTGAGTGCACTCAGGATGGCTTGTGTAATTATCAAAACTGGTATTTCCAAATCTCTTAATAAGTTATAAGATCCCAGTCTGTATTAAAATGTTTTGATTTTAGGTGGTGTGAAAAGGGATTGAAATAGTATTATCACTACTGTGATTTTAACAAAGAATCACAGATTGTAACTCCAGTTTTAAGAGTGACATTGTGCTTTTCTAAACCTCCAGGTTAAGTGTGTGGATTCTAAAACACTGCCAGTCTCTTTTTCCCATGAAAACCATGCAGTCCGCGCCTACATCTTCAGCCTGGCTCTGGCCCCTTGGCCGTGTCCCCTGGGTTGGGTTATGTTCCAGCCCCAGTGGTGACACAGCTTGTCCCCTCCCCTTCATGCAGAGCAAGTGGCAGAGATCATGACCGAGGTGGAGCCTGTGACCGCCACGCCGGACGAGCGGATCATGGAGCTGGTGCTGGGGAAGCTGGCCACCACCGCCAGCGACGCCGGCTCCGTGCCCAAGTAAGTCTTGGCAGGAAGCCGCCCGTCTTTGGGGCAGAAGCACCATGGCAGCTGATGGAGCAGATGGCCTGATGAGAGGGGACTGGTTTCTTTCTTGTGGTGGGAAATGGACATGCTTGGACAGCAGCAGGAACGTTCTGGAGCCCAGGCGTTTAATAGTGCATCCATTGTTTAAACTTTTTTTATTGTCATAAAATACACGTGGGTTAAAATTTACCATCAACCATTTTTAAGCACACAGTTTGGTGGTTTTAAATGCATTCACAGGAGAAGTGGCTCAGTCTTTTCCTGTCATAGTCCTGTATGTCATGTGTCTAGAGCTTCAGGCCTGGGTCCCTCTTACTGTGCTTATTTGATATGTGACTCTTGTACAGAATGGTCATCTGCTTGTGAACATACTCAAGATGGCTTGTGTAATTTTAAAAATTGGTATTTCCAAATCTCTCAATAAGCTACAATTCCCAGTCTACATCAGAACCTTTTGGTTTTATGTGGCGCAAAAAGGGGGTGAAATAGTGTCATCACTGCTGTGGTTTTTATTGTGCCTCCAACTGTCCAGCTCCAGAACTTTCTCACCTTCCCCAAACTCCACACATACACAGCCGTAACTCCCCCACCCCCTTCCCTGCCCCGGTACCCACGGGCTGCTTTCCGTCTCTGTGAAGACCTTGCATGAGGCCCCTCTGTCTCCAGGCACTTGACGTAGGGGAATCGGACAGCGTTGGTCCCTCTGTGCCTGGCCGATCTCACTCAGCACAGTGTTCTCAAGGTGCATCCCTGTTGCAGCAGGTGCCAAAATTTCCTTCCACTTTAGGCAGCATAATATCCCATCCTGTGGATGGGCCACATTTTGTGTATCCGTTCTTCCATCAAGGACACTTGCGTTTTCTGTCTTGGCTGTTGTGAGCAGTGCTGCTGTGATAAAACAGTTTGAATTTCTGTAAGTTTAACACTTGGTGTTTTTCTTCTTTTTATGAATAGGGAAAATATTTATATTTTAGTTATTATTCTTATGTAATTTTTTTTTTGGCCGAAAAGTGGAATAAACTAGGGCCCTTTTTAGAGTGTCAAAGCCTGCCTGGTTCTGGGTAGTCCGGGAACCTGCGGAGACCCTAAAAACAGAGCAATGTCAGAAACGGTGAATGTAGCCCATTTTCACTCTGTCTTACGCTGGAGAACATTAGGGACTTTCCATCAGAAACACATTTAATAGGGAGAAGAAATTTGAAAACTCAGGTTCAGGGGAAATAGGAGCCAGGGCAGAGGTAAGACTAGTGAAAAAGAGCAGGTCTGGCTGCTTCAGCCGAAGCCCAGCCTGAACTCCAGCTGCCTGGCGGGCGGCGCTAAAGCCCAGTAAGAGGTGTGGCTGGCACAGGGAAGTCACCTGGTGCCACTGCGTGTTCAGGGTGCCTGTCCCTTCCAGACAGCCCAAAGCTGGAGGGACACCGGGCATGGTCCCTGCCCTGCCCTCCGTCAGGCTGGGAAGATCTGAAAGGAGCTCTTTCCAAGATGATGTAACTCTGGACTTCTTCTCCAGCGACCTCGTGTCCCACCTGTCTTACCCATGTGTGTGTCTAACCTGGCAGGTTCCCCCATCATCAGAGCGGCACCATCACCCTCAAGAGGAGCCTCATTCTCTCCAGCCGACACGGCATCCGGCGAAAGCTGGTCCGGCAGCTCGGGGAGCACAGGCGGGTCTACCAGTGCAGCATCTGCAGCAAGGTCTTCCAGAACAGCAGCAACCTGAGCAGGCACGTGCGCTCACATGGTGAGTCCCTGCGGCCACGCCTCTGGGTGGGCATCTGGGGGTGGGGAGTTGGGGATGGGGGCGCCTGCGGGGATGGGGGTGCCTTGAGGGGATGGGGGAGCCTTGGGGGTTGGGGACACCTCAGGGGCCGGGGATGGGGGCGTCTGGGGGATGAGGGTACCTGGGGGGACAGTGATGGGGGCACCTTGAGGGGTAGGAGAAAGGGGAGGCCGCCCGTCTCCAGGCCCTCTTCTGCCTCAGTGTCGGTGCAGGGCTGCCTGTCTGAGCAGGGGGCTGGGCAGCATGTCTGAGGTGGGCCCCGTGGTTTCCGAGCTCACCTGGAGAAGAGAAGCAGCTCTTTTCTGGTTATTCCTTAGGTGACAAGCTGTTTAAATGTGAGGAATGTGCAAAGCTGTTCAGCCGCAAGGAGAGTCTGAAGCAGCACGTTTCCTACAAGCACAGCAGGAACGAGGTGGGTGAGCGGACTGGGCTCTTTCTGGAGACAGAGGAGAACAGATCACACTGAAGCAAGAGTCACGAGAGAGGGGCGGGGGCCCGGGGCCTGGGCAGGTGCGGACAGGGCTCGGGGCGAGCCGGGAGGGTGCGGGCGGCGGACGTGGGCAGTGAGGGCACCTGAACGTGAGATTCTCTTCCTAGGCCACGGGGTGGCCAGACTGAAAATTGTTCATGTCCCTAAGCTGGGCAGGAGGGCTGGAGAGGAAAGGGTCGTGAGCCGCACACGCTGGGCGGTGGGTGAAGAGGCTCCCCTTGGAGGAGGGCGGCCTCGCCGCACCTGCCGCCGGCCCTCCTCTCACCACGGCCCCTCCCGCCAGGTGGACAGTGAGTACAGGTACCGGTGCGGCACCTGCGAGAAGACCTTCCGCATCGAGAGCGCCCTGGAGTTTCACAACTGCAGGACAGGTGAGCGGCCGCCCGGCCCGTGCCGCCAGAGCGGACTCTGATGCCCGACCGGGTGGGAACCGTGCGCCTCCGCGGGGAGTCAAGGTGGATCTCACAGCCTCTCCTTCGACGTCCTCCTCCGTTCCGTGTGCTTTCAGGCGGCTGTTACTCACAGGTGGAAATGTCCCGTGTAAAAAGGAGTTTATGTCTGACTTCCTGTTATTCCACATGTTCCACTGGCCCACGTGTGAGAAGCAGGGGCTTTCATCCTCCCTGCGGCCGTGAGCGGCCGTGAGCGGCCGTGTAGGATTTGTTCTCCGGGCCAGAGAAGCACGCGGAGAGGTGGGGTGATGGCTGGGGGCGGGGACTTCTGCATCTTTGTCAGCTGGACCTTTCTTAACTGTCTGCTCTCCTCTGTCCCTGGATCCTGGACCCAGGCAGGGCCTGGCTGCTCCCAGGAGACCGTTTTTGCTCTGAGCCTGCCTGTCTGGGGATCCACACGTGAGAGAGAGCCTCATGTGCAGTTAAAGCCGGTGTGCTGGGACCAGCCTGTGGCTGGGAGGGGGTTCTCTCTGGGCCTGCACAGGGGTCTCAGGTCCTGTCTCTGGCCAAGCGGGTGGCTGGCATGCACCTGACGTATAAATCCCCGTGTGCGGCCAGGGGAACCAGTGGAGGATGCCCCATCCTGTCCCTGAGGCTGTCTCCCTGTGGGTCGTGGGTGGAGGTACATGGCCTCGCTTCCTACCCAGGGAGGACAGAGGTGGGGGTGGTCACTCCTTCCTCTGGGAGCCATCATACACCGGGTGGGAGGCAGGGGCCTGGGGACCAGTGGCAGTTGGCTTCGAGACCTATCAGATTCACCTTTGACTCTGAACCCCCTTCCCATGGAGCCTGTGTGTGCAGCGCTCGCACCTCTGTGCTGCTTCTCGTTAAGACGCCGGCCACCCCGCATCTCTTGGGGAGCCCTTAACCCCGTCACCCAGCGCATTACCTGAATCTCCACTGCTGGCGTCCAGCGTCTGCTCCTGCAGCCTCCGCCATATTTTTGTTTGGTTCAGTTTATCGTTCCGCTTTGAGGGCTCCTGTTTGAAACCATGCCTGTCCCCTTCATCTGCGGGGCCCTGCTCCCACAGTGGGGCTTCTCTGAGTGGCCGGTGAGTCTGTTTCACCTGAGCTCCAGCTGCTCTGCGGGGTCCGTCAAGGCATGGAGTGGCCTCGGAAGCTTCCAGATGAACTTCCAGCATGTGACCCCACCTGCTTTCTGAGCCCTGCATCCCAGGTGTTCCCAACCGTTTCCCCACTGTTTCCTCTGATGCCCTGTCTGTCAGATGGGCCTCTGCTGTATTTGTTGACGGAAGCAGGATGGCGCCCCGTGTGGCCACGCTTGGTTCTGCAGGAGTGCAGGGGGCGCCGTCAGACTGCAGAGATGCCACATCCTGTCAGGGTCTTGGGTGAGGCAGACCCTCAAAGTCCAGGAAGAGAGGATGTCCTCTTTTTACCTTTATTTCTCTGGCCACAAGTGAAACAAAGTAATAAAAGAAGTCAGAGCAGCGGTTGCTACACGTCAGCAAAAGATTCTGTTAAACCAGACGTTTGTCTGTCTTCATTGTATAGGAAGAACCAAGCAGCCCGGAATTGAAATGCAGTTTCTAATTTCAAAGGTTAGATGTTTTGTCTGGAAAACAACGGATGAAGCTGGTAACTGAGCTCATCTGCACACTGTTGCTATCTGCACACTCTGGCACTTTCTTACGCTATTCACGTGCAGAGGTGTCATCCGTAGACCATTAAGTCAAGGGTTTGTGCAGTGTTGGGGAGACGCTCTGAAATGAGTAGTCTGATAGGTTTTCTCAAGCTGTCACTGAGTGGGGCCTGTCCTGGTGTGGCCAGGCGCTGGTGTAACTCAGCTAAATGGCCCTCAGGCAAGACAGGGCCCCTCAGCCTCCCGTGTAGCGGCTTCCCCCGAAACCCACCATCCCATCTCCGATGACCCTGCGCCCCTGCCCTGCACCCGAGCCCATGTGTGGGGCTGCACCTCGCAGGCCCTGTAGTTTACCAGCCTTGAGACCAAAGAAAGAGGCTGGGGCCAGCGACAGAGTCCTCAGTGGTTTATTGGACAGAGTACCTTACACAGAGGATCCTGCAGCAACACCACACTGTGGGTGGCACACGAAGGCAGGACACGCAACAGCCTCCGCTCCTCGGGGGAGAGAGCGGCTGCGGCTGTTTACGGGGGATTGACGTCAAGCGGGCTCATCAGGTACTGGGGAAGCCGGCAGCGGGCTAACGACCAGCGCTGGGCAGATGCTCCCCTTCGGTAAACTGGCAGGTGGCTCTGTGCTGGCCTAAGGACCAGGACAGGCACTAGGTGGGGCCAGGGGCAGGCAGTTCACATGGGCAGGCATGGGTGAAGCAGGGGCTGGTCGAGCAGGAGTGGACACAGAGCAGGAGGACAGCCATCGTGGCAGGCCTGATCGTACACCACATAATAGGCATCCGTCCTCAGTTGCTCCGTTTTGTTAAGACGTGAGTGTGGACCTGGGTCGAGGGCAGCGGGAGCGTGGGTGGGAGAGGCTGTCCTTGAGGCTGTCTGCATTCCTGAGCTGGTGACCTGTGGATACCACGGCAGGGCAAGCCACTCGTGGTGACAGCCTGGGCGCTGGACGGCTGCTTCCAGCCCGCTCTCACCAGGCGGAAGCCACATCTGCACCACGGAGAACAGTTGGCAGTGGGCTCCCTCCATGTACCAAGAGGGACTCCTCTTGGAGAGAAAGCTGAGTCCAAGGGCAACACGTGCACCTTCCACGCTGCTGGGGCCCAGGGCCAGTGGGGCCACCTGCCCAGGCTGGGGGCTCACCTGTGTGGGTGGGAGGGGTCTTTGGTGACCTGAGGGAACAGCACAGTAAGGTGTGGCCCTTGCCTCTGGTGGTCCCAGTCCTAAGAATCCGTGCTGAGGAAGTCGAGCAGGAAAGGAAAAAAAAAACTTGCATTACTGAGGATCACTAAGTCACCTACACTGTCAAAAATAATGAAGTCAACAGTGATACATGAGATGGGTGGGATGTTACGTAGCCACTAAAACACGCACAGGCATGTTTGTCTGAGAAGCACACGTCCTGCACACGCACACACGTGGGTCACACGTGGGTGCGGGGGGCCGTGCAGACCCCCTCCACGAGGGACCCCACCTGCGCCGCATGTCAGTGTCACCTGGGAGAAGTTAAAACAGCTGCTGAGGCCTGAGCCCCCGGGGCATCGGGCAGGGGCTGGAGGCGTTTTGGTTCTAACTGCTGCCTGGGGAGGGCGCCGGGTGGGGGCTTCCGGTGGATGGAGGCCGGGGATGCTGCTTGACGTGCGGTGCGCAGGATGGCCCCACCCTGGAGAACGATCCGGCCCAGTGGTCACCAGTGCCCAGGCTGAGATTCCTGGACGTGGAGGCCCACTGTGCAGCCATGAGTGAGACCCCCAGTTAGAACCACTATAGAAAATGAACCTCTGCCTTCAGTCTCTGGGATTTGTGCACTTTGCAAACATTTATGGACTCTGGGGACTGATCAGTGGGCCAGAGCCAAGGACCCAGAAGTTAGGGTGACAGAGTGTGTCCTTAGGCCCTTGCCCTGGAGGACACACACCTGTGTCATGCCCACCTGCACAGGTGACAAGGGCCAGGGCCCCTGGGGCTGCGGGAAGGCCAGTGGGCAGTGAGGGCTCCCTTCTGGGGCTGGTTTAGGTGACATGTCCTGGAAGGAGCAAGGTGGGCATGGTAGGGGAGGGGGAGCAGAGAACAAGTCAGAGCGGAGAGTGCGGGCTGATGGCCTGTTCTGGGTGAAGCCCTGAGACCCCCAGACTGGGGCAGAGGCAGACAACCAGTGAGGTGCCCGATGGCTCTGCTGGTCGTGCCCCCGGGGGCAGGCCTGGCTGGCTGTGGTTGGGGGCGGGATGGTGGGGAGCCGAGGGGATGCTCTGGGCGCCTGGAGGGAGAGAGCAGAGGGGACTGTCAGAGGCTCTGGGGGGAGGCAGTTTGGCTCCTTTAAGGGGGGACTGGAGGTGAGGCCAGGACACTGGGATGTGGGTATTTCTGGAGGCTTTGTTGTGGGGGAGGGGTGTGTTTGGCGGGGGGTGGGATGCATGTCTACTAAAGGGGGGCCTCAGAACAAGACAGTTTTGCTTACAGGTAGGAGAAATAGGGGGTGTTTATGTGCCGTGGGGAAGGAGCCTGGGGAGGGCAAGATGAGAGGGAAGGGGCAGGGGATGGTGGGCTTCGGAGGAGCAGGTGCAGGGCTGAGCCTGCGGCGGGGAAGAAGGTGGCTCCTCTGAGGCTGGGGGGAGCAGGGACGGGGGCTGCAGTCAGGTCGGCAGAGGTGGGGAGGGCCCAGGACAGCTGTGGTTCGGGCCTCTTTCCTTGCCAGGAATCCCAAGATTCTGTGGGTGATGCGTGATGCGTGATGCGTGATGCGTGATGCGTGATGCGCGGGGAGGAGGGCGGGTGCGGCTTCGTGGACAAAGATGATCTGAATGTCCGCTCTGCCTGTCGGGACTCGGCTGGCTCAGGCCTGGCTTGGCCCGGGGCTCCGTCAGCTCAGGTGGTACTGTTTCTGGGCCTCCTCCAGCTCGGCCATTATTCACCTGAGTCTCAACGGCAGTCCCAAGGCCCGAGGCTGAGCCTGCCCTCGGCGTCATTTACCTAAATGTTGCCTCTTGTTTGCTTCTTTGACAGATGACAAGACGTTCCAGTGTGAGATGTGTTTCAGATTCTTCTCCACCAACAGCAACCTTTCCAAGCACAAGAAGAAGCATGGGGACAAGAAGTTTGCTTGTGAAGTCTGCAGCAAGATGTTCTACCGCAAGGACGTCATGCTGGACCACCAGAGGAGGCACCTGGAAGGTGAGCGC